ATTTATCAAAAATCGCTCAATTCTAAATATCAAAAATATTGACAAAGAATATTACAGAGATGGAAAGAGGTGGAACAAACCAGTTTAAGAGGATTTGTAATGAGTAGTTACTCAGTTTGTAGCAGTCTGGACGTTCTCATCCCATCTCTGGCATCAACAAGGCAATTTCACCCAGAGAACTAGTAGAAACAGTAGGGAGATAGTAGCAGATAGTAGGAAGGTTTTTCTTTTTTCTGTGCAACAGTATCCGTTAATTCATTTCTGTGATAGTTTGTTGGGATGTCTTGGATGTGCTGCTTCTCCGTCTAAAGCTATCATTACTTCCAGGTATCTGAGAGGTCTAACTGGAACCTTCAATGAGAGGGCAGAGAAACTGATGGATAAACTTGCAGATGTTGCTGACAGTAAAAAAGAAGCTAATATGCTCCATCTTGTCAACTGTGTCACCCTGGATGTTATTACTAAGGTATTATATTGCAGTCATTTTTACCCTTCCAAAGGGTGAGTGTGTGTGTGCATATTTGTGTATACTTTTTTCTTGATCAATTTCAGGTTGCCTTTGGGGTGGACTTGGACCTCTTGAAGAATAGTTCACCTTTCCCTAAAGCCATTGAGACATGTCTGAAAGGAATGGTTACCTATGTTAGAGACACATTTTTTCAGGTATTACTTCAGCGTTTGTTGTTATGCAGTAGTTCTGCCAACAACATTGTTATCTGAATGCCATCCTAAACCTGTCAGTTTTCCATTCCAGTTCAATCCAAAGAACAGAGGATACATTAATGAGGTGAGGGAAGCGTGCCGCCTGCTCCGTACAACTGGAGCTCAGTGGATCAGTGAGAGAAAGACCGCCATGCAAAACGGTGACGAGGTCCCCAAAGACATCCTGACACAAATCATCAAAGCTGCAAGCCAAGGTTGGAGTCCCCAAATTTCACATTAGACTAGACTAGATAAGAGCAATAATATAGAATCTTGTTGAATCTGTGTGAAGAGCATAAAAACGAGTAAATAAACACACTGAAGAAAAATGATAGGACAGCACAAGTTCAGTGCCTCCCATATGAACTCTCCTTGGAGGTTTGTGTTAGTACCTGTTCATGATGAGAGCACATCTTAACATGGTAGATGTCAAATCATTTATAGGTAGTTTTTTATCATTTCAGAGGACAGCATGACTGAAGAAGATGAGGAGTTTATGCTGGATAATTTTGTGACATTCTTCATTGCCGGTGAGTCTCTGTTGTTTCATCTTTGATGTTAGAAGTAGTGCCCTGTGATTGACTGGAGATCTGATCAGGGAGGATAGTGCCTTTTTCTCAGTGACAGCTGGGATAGGTTAAGAAAACAATTAAGAAAATGGACTGATGTATGAAATATTACACAATAATTTGGGCCTGCTCTATCTTTGTGGAACACCAAAAGGTTTGCTGTGTTAAAAGGCGCACAATGCAGTCACCACTTTAAGCATCAATTTTTAACTTAATGCCAAATAGTTTCATCTTTATAAAATGTTATCTATTGTCAGGTGTAACGATGCAGGTATTCACAACATACATTCATTTTCATGGACTACTGACCATCCAGATGATGGATGTATTGTTATAGACTGTATATCAAAGATGGAAATAGCTTTTGTGTCTGTGGCGGGGCGTGCAATCACGCATTGTAATGGGTGCTGTGTTTGTGGTTGCGATAATGTTGAGCGGGCAGCGGGAGAGCTGCAGCTCTGTGAGCATTGTGAACAGCAACCGTGTGAGTCAATAAAGTATGCTGCAAAGCATGAACTTGCACCCGGGTCTGCCGTGGTCATTTACAGTGTCTTAAAAGTGAACTTTAAAATGGAAGTGAATTAAACCTGCTTTCTTTCTGAAGCCCACGAAATGGCGATATCTGCGGTTGCTCCTGTTCCTATAGAAGTCTATGGAAAAATGACTTTTTCCATAAATGGCTTTCAGTGGTGCTGCTTTTAATGTGATTTTGTAAAACCTACAGAGTTTATAGGCTCAGGCACTCATCCTGGGTCAACACTGAATCAAAAACCAGTATGCTAGCCATACTGTCTTTGAGGAGAAGGTGGCTGGGGCCTATCTGTAGTATTAAACAACACATTCATTGGTTTGTCAGTCAAATGTCAGGTGTGTGGGCTGACCCCCTCATCATCACATCCTTTTCTTTTTGGAATCAAGATGGTGGAAACTCTCATCTTGCAGCTTTGCAATCAGACCAGTGAATGATGTTACAATAGCTGCATACATCTTTTGTACTGCCTAATGTCGTGTGTAATTTATGCTATTCCAGGCCAAGAAACAACAGCCAATCAGCTGGCTTTTGCAATCATGGAACTTGGAAGACATCCTGATATACTGGAGAAGTAAAAAGTCAAAATATATTGCGCGACAGTTTCCACTATAGCAAATAGACTTTGGTTTCTTATGGAGTTTTCTCATTTCTCAGAGCAAAGAAAGAAGTGGACGATGTTATTGGGATGAAACATGAAATAAGCTACGATGACCTGGGCAAGTTGGTCTACCTGTCACAGGTACATGTGGCAATTTGAAAATTGTGGTACTATTTTTCTGTATCTTAAAGTATCCTTGGTCTTCTGCATTAATGAGATTTGTGGTTTTAAGCATTTTCACTGCTCTGTTGAGTAGAACGGTGTTATATATATATA